ATCATCATACCATATTGAATCACTGTAAATTCGTCCATACTAAACAAAGAATCATCACAATAAATGAAAGATTCAAAAGGTTATTAGCAAGAAAGAGAGCAATTCTTTAAAGAAAAGAGATATTGTGAGTAGGGTTGTTGATCTCTCAAGTTGATGGCAATAAGTTTCGTAGGCTAGAAGAAACTGAAAAATTCTCAGTCATGCACATCTTCCTTAGACTGAATAAGGAAGTAAAATTCCTAGACAGATTAGCACAAAGCAGCAAGAGTCCATCAATAATGCAAAACTTGCCCATCCAAGAAGAGCCCAGGGCCACATGGCCTCACCATTGCATTCTTCCCAATTTATAAAGAATCAATATCAAGATTTCTTCCTCCTCACGCCCCAGCATCCGCCAGATGTATTTATTTATTTGAAAGGCTGAGTCAAAGACAAAGAGGAAGAGAGAGCAACAGACGATCTCCCATAAGCTGGTTCACCTCTTCCACGACCTTGATAGCCAGCAGTGGATCAGGGTGAAACAAGGAGCCAGGTGCTTCTTCAGTGTCTCCAAAGTTGGTGGGCCAGTTTCTGCATTCCCAGGTTTATTAGTAGGGGGCTGCATAAAAGGTGGAACATTTTGTATCTAAACTGGCAGCTATGTGTGACAGGCAGAGACTTAACCCACAATGGTGGCATCAGCACCAATCCTGAGCCCACTTACCTAGGCACAAAAACCAGACAAGGGCATGACAACAAACTAAAGCTACAGGCCAGTATCCTTGATTAACTTATATCTTTAACAAATTACTAGCAAATTGAATCACAGCATTTTAAAAGATCACTCCCAAAGCTTTTCAGCTAGAGGTGCAGCTTGACCAATGAGGCAGAAAAAAAAAAAGACATCCAAATTGGAAACAAGGAAGTCAAATTGTTAGTGTTTGTCCTTTGCTTGATCTTGTGTGAGAAAACTCTGAAGACTTCAGGAAAAAAAAAGCTGTTAGAACTAAAAATGAATTACACTGGGGTTGACGCTGTGGTGCAGTAGGTTAAGCAGTGGCCTGCGGTCCTATGTTCCTAATCGGGTGCCCATTTGGGTCCCTCCTGCTTTCTCAGGCCACAAACAGAGAACTGGATCAGAAGTGGAGCAGTGGACATGCACAGCACCCATAAGGAATGCCAGCATTTGTGGGATACCTAGGGGAAACTCCTGATTCCTGGCTTTGGATTGGCTTAGCTCTAGCCATTGTAAATAGAAAAGCACCCCAAAAATGATCAAGTTAAACCATAGGCTACACACATGGACAAACGTTTATTAATGAAGACAAAAGATGGCCAACAGATATGTGCAAAACATGCCTAATGTCACAAATCATCAGAGAAATACATTTTAAAGCCACAATTAGATATTATATGATTGGCCATTACACAATACATATATCCAGTGAAGCACCATGATATCTGTATCAGAGAATCTGGATTCAATACTTAGCTCTGGTTTCTGACTCCAAGACCCTAATGCAGACCCTGGAAGACATTGGTTCTGGCTCAAGATATTACGTTTTTGCTGCTCCATTGGGAGATCTGGATTAACTTCTCCTTGCTATCAGCCTGGTCCAGTGCAGCTTTGCTATTGTGGGTGTTTACAGAGTGAACCAGCAGACTGGAGTGGGGTGTGTGTGTGTGTGTGTGTGTGTGTGTGTGAGAGAGAGAGAGAGAGAGAGAGAGAGAAAGAAATAGAGTGAGAGAGAACTAATTGTCAGTAGGAGATTCTAGTCTTACACTTGAAGCTTGGAAATCAATGTTACACTATAACCAAGCTACCACTTGTCAGAATGACTAAAAAATAACCTGGCTAAGAGTTTGGAAAAGTATGAGTCACTTGCTATCCTAGTCCTCCTTTCTTCTACATTAAGTGTTATTGAAAGATAGTTTCATATATATATATATATATATATACAAACATATTATTCTTGTATATGTAATATATATCATGTATATATGCATATTACAGTCTAATGCAAATAAACAAATAGCAAAGGGAGTCTGGGTGGTATGTGGAAGCACAGACTATTTAATGTCCACAAAATTAGGTTACTTACCTTGTAGAAGTGAGACAAGGAGAACATGATGATAGGTCTAACTGCAGCAACCATCCCTGAAGACTGGGGAAACTTGTCAGATCAAAGCCAAGAAATTCCAAATGGTAATACATGTTTTGTACCTAAGGGCAAACAAAATGACGTTGGATTGTATGGTAAATACACAATCACAGTGGATAATTAGGATTGGAGTAAATCTTAGAATTGATTTAATGTAAGATTAAGAGTAAAGAGATAAATTAGTAGATAGGTTTTAGCATCTAAGAATAACAGGCACCAGGCCCTGTCTCATTGAAATATAAAAGTGAAGGACTCTATGAAATACCCAGTTAGGGCAACTCTCCATTTTTCAAAATTTGTCATAAAATTTGAATTTTGAACTACTTTCGGTGTATTACTTAATACTCTGTATCTTGACTGTGCCAATGAACTCACACATGGGATCATTCCATTTAACCCAGTAAGCTTTGCTTTCAAATATTGCTTTCAAATTAGGTCTGCTTAAACATTTTATATACTACATTGCAACATTTGTTTTTTCTTTGTTAGCTACATTTATGAACACACACTGATAAAAACTGGTTGAGAAAATAAAACACTTATCTGTGTACACCTGGAGTCAGAGTCCAGCTATAACTTTTTCTCTGATTTGGGAGGTTTATGAATGACACAATGGAGCTGAGCCTATGTTCTTACCAATGAATTCAATGGAAAGTTTTGGAGATCTTATAGTTCCCAAGAGCAGTTTTTGAGAGGAAATGAAATAAACCCAGCAGCGATTGCACTCATTTGTAATGCACTTCTAAAAAGGCAGGCATGCTTAAAACTCAAGAACACTCTGATTGCATCAATTTACTCATCCTAAAGGGTTTTATTTTGAAGAAAATTGTGACACAAAGATGAGAAAATATAGTAAATGGTATAACAGGTTACACAGGGAAGGCTGATGTGGAAAAACATGTATAAGGAGGGAACCCAAAGCACCTGGAAACAAAGGTGGATTAATTATATGATGTCATGAGTAAAGAAAAAACAGGAAGAAGAAGGACGTAGGAAACAAAAAGAGCGAGGCTAGACAACCCTTTCCTCCCACAGTGGACATTTGCAGTGTTAATTTATCTGTTTAATAGCCCAGTGTTCCAGGTCTTGCCATCTCTGCTTTTGAATTGAGAGTGATAGAATGAATTCCTTCACCCTTTACAAAGTTATGGGTCACCATCTTTGAAATTTTAATGTCCACCAAATCACAACCAAATTTAGGTCTGAATGTATTGATATAATTTTGACTCTGTCACATTTCCTTACATGCTCTTAGTTTCCGGTCATAGGATGTCACTAAGAAGCACCACCATCACCAAAGGTTTTGATGCAATTCTATCTGCTGGTGGTAAAAGGACAACCCCAACTTCTACCCAGTGAAGCTGAGCACTCTTACCTTATTGGAATCATTGGTTCTTCTGGGAGCATTGACAAATCTTGCTCCTTCAGGCATTTCAGTTGGTGTGAAAACCAGGTCCGTACAGTTTTAGTTTTTAGAACAAGCAACACTTCACTAATGTGGATACTATCTCTTTTTACTGTTTTGGGGAACTGGTTTATTGCTTGACAAATTTTATGTTAAGAGGCAGTTGGTTTGAGTCAAGCCATAGTCTAGGGCTATAAAGCAGCAGTATAAACAAGGAGAAAAAGGCTAAGATTTTTTTTGCAGAGCCTGTCTTTACAAGATCTCTTTGTACTTTTACCATTTTTATATCACCTTATCTTCTTTGTACCTACTATGTACATGTGGCAGCACCTTCCTTAGATACTGTGCTAGACACAGAAAAGTAGCACAATTCACTTTCATAAGTTATTTATCTTGTTGGAAACTCTAGAGAGAAATAAAGTCACACTGGTAACCTTCAGTAGTTATTGACTACATGTGAGGTTTTACTGAAAGCTTTATGGGTTCATCTTAGAAACCTTATAGCAGCAGGAGGTGGTTGCAAAAATGCTAAAACAAATTCCTTCACTCTGTAGTTTGTACCCCAAAGATTCCTTTGCTTTGGGAATCTGGATAAAAAGTGCTAAATTATCATGATTACAATTGTTTGTATTTGTTTGACCCCATTGGTAAAGAAATAGTCGACCTAATGGCATGCTTTTCAAGAAATGCTGGTTTCTATTGATCTCACAAGCCATTTCTCCAAAATCTCGGAGGGATCCTTCATTAAGTTAACAGCTACCAGATAATTTGGTTGATTCTTCCTCTTTTCACTTTGCCATTTTCCTCATTTTCATTCTGTCTCCCAGAGTTAGCTTAGTATTTTGAGTTCCGAAACAGTCAGTGAGACAATTGTTCATTTGCATTTGTGTTTTTAATTTTGTGTGGCAGTTGGAAGTGAAAATATTGGGAAATGTGATAAATACCCACTGAATTCTCCAAATACATACTGATGCAGCCCAACTCAAATAGCCGTCTCAACATGTGACGGTGGACTTTGTTCTAACACAGGAGTTAAGCAGACATTCGAGTTTTCAATTCTATGAGACCTTTTACTGGTTATCAAGACGCTTACAACAAAACAAATCTTGTCATGGCAAAAGGTAAGAATCCACCTGTAAAATCTGAAGAATGTGAATTCTGTGACTCCTGTAGAAACAGCACAAGATGAAGCCAAATCACCTTCTCTATTGGGACTGAACAATCTATGAGTTTATGGCCTGTTAGTTTGCCATCAAATGGTGCTATCAACCAATACTTGGACCACTTTTGTAGTGCACTTCAGGGCATTGCACAATGTTCTCCCTTCAGGTTTCACACTTTTCTGTTATGAAAAAGGGCTTGGGTTCTGACTTCATGTACTCTCACGTATCGGTACTGTCTGAATGGCAGAGAGGTCATCCTTAATAAAACATGGAATATTTTTCTTTTTCCTGCTCTAGTGGACTACTCAATTTAATGGAGAATGATTAGGTCACATGCATATACATCTCTGGCAGAAAGTATGATACATCCCCCCACAAGGCTATGGGAGCCGAACTGAACCTGCTTCTGTTCCGTGGTTTAATGTGCTGTGTTTGGAAGACGTGTTTGCATACAAAATTTTCACCAGAAATTTTTTATAGCAAATACTTTATGTCAGAAGTTTATTTTATTGGTAAAATATTAAATAATATACAGAATTAAAAACTGCACTTACACTTCTGAGAAGAAATAAATCTTGGACAAATTATGTTTGTTCCTGAGATTCCCTAAATTTATTCCAGTAGCTGTGCACTCAGACAGTACAAACCTTTATAATATAATCCTTTTCACAAAGTATTACAAAGTTTCTGCAGCTTCTTTATACACACATACAGACGCACATTCACACATGCATATACAACATTCATACACATACACGGTACCCACATACATGCACAAAACATGTATGTGCGTATATTAAAAACAATGAAAAACAAGTCCCACATTTCAGTCTGCAGTGATGAAACTGTTCAGCGGAGGTCTCCAAATCAGTATATAGCAGAGTGACTTGTCACACAGCTGCAAAGACTGTTTCCATATCTCCATAGTAAACCTCATTCTTTGAGGTACGATATTTGAGCCTTAAAAAAACTACATTACACTGAGCGAACCTGACATACAAGGTCTGGAATTTTAATTTTACATATACATTTATATATATATATATATATTTCTGTTTAAACAATAGTTATTTTCCCAAATTGTTAGTTTGAAAAAAAAATGAGGTTTACTGGTTTGACCTATTTTATTTTTATTTTTTTTTTTTGCTTCTAAAACTTAAAACATCCTAGAAACTGTTAAGCAATTAGTCTTTAAAATAGTCTAATCACCTTTGGTATTGTTAAAGAAAAATATTCTAAAATGGCAAAGACACATACTATATAAATGCAGTAAATGTCTTTAAAATAACTGCCAAAGAAATGTTCTCTTTTAATAAAACTTATTTACATTACAGCAGATTTATTACAGGAGCACAGGTATAAAAAAGAAATCCAGCACACTACATATAAATATGCATGATACGAAAAATACTTCTTACTTAAATTTGTATGAAAACAGGATAGCTCTAAATATTTAAAATTTTTTTCTTCAATTAGTGACATGGTTAAAATTGAGTTAAGTGCTTTGTTATTACAATTCACTTTCAAAAAGAGAAATGAAATAAAAGTATTAGATATTAGTTTCTTAATTTAGAGCACTGGTCAAGGGTCCAAGAACATTCAGTCTGTAAGGATTTCCACTTTAGGACACATTTCTCAGGCAAAAATGTACTAATTTCAGTGGAAACATAGCCTTAATTGATGCCATGAGATTGGACAAGTGGTTTTTGTATCTCAAATCTTTTGACGTGGGAGTGGTTTTCACTTTGCCTCTTGTGTCCTTGAACACGCATCCTATGATTTGAAAGGATTTCTTATCATTTGCTAAGGGAACATAAGTCAGAAAAGAAAAGAAAAATCATCATAGTAGTTAAGACCTGGGTGGGGGGTGGTATTGCACTTATACAGAAAGAAAATAGTATCTTTTAAACAGCAAAAACAATCATTCTGGGATTGCAAATAACAAATGGTCTAAAAGGTCCAACTAATAAGAGCAAATAGGTGGCCAGGAGATGACCCTCCAAACCTGGAATAATTTATAAGAAGGTTAAAGCATGTTTTCTCCAGGAGGGAGAAAATTAAGACTCTTTACATTTTTAATGTCCTTCTAAATATTTGCGAAGAAAAAAGTCTAATTGCCTATGATAAATCTTTTCAGAAAAAAAAAAATGAGAAGGCAAATCCCACCAAAGGAAGGCAAGCATATCACAGCAGGTTCATATAATCTCTGCGTCATGTTTTAGTACCCAGTGTTGGAAAGTGAAAATCATATGAAGATCACATAGCTTATTATTTTAATCCAACCATTTCTCTTTTTAATATAAAATCACACAAGTATAAAAATATGTCAGCAGATTACAAAGCCAACAACAATCACAAAAAAAAAAAAAGGTAAGACTTAAGAGATCAATGAACTGGAAATAAAAGTTGACCTAATTTTCAAACACAGGCAGGAGGTGAGACAGAGATAGCCAGAGACAATTACAGGAGACTGAGAGAGGATAAGGAGGTAGGGACAGAGTTCACAAAATTTACAAAGTGACAAGAAATTGTTCCAAACAAGGGAAAGTTGATTTATGTTCAAAATCTGAGAGTGTCTGACAATTTTCTTCCCTAATCACTGTTTCAGAATTTGAACTACTTAAAAAAAAAAAAGGCCAAGAATATAATAAAAGCCAAAATCCAGATTCCTTCCCTTGTTAGTGTTTCCATTTTGTAAAAAAAAACCAAAAAAATCCATGTCTCGTAAATTAAGTAAAGTCCTGGTAAGTGCATAGTAGGGGATTCAGTGACCTCCACCCATTCAAGCTTTTCTTACTGTGTCACTTGAGGTAATCGGAAGGCCCTGCTCACGGCAAACTGGCTTCTTTGTACCTGTAGGAAGTTCTATGCTGTTCTCTGCGTGGCTTAGCACAGGGCCTCTACGTTTCATATTTTTATTCACAATAAAAAGGATATCTTAAAAAACTAGGCATTTATGTACCACATTGGACAAAGATTAGTTCACAACAAATTTATACAGAAAATATACAAATGCAAAGTTGTGGGAGAGAGAACCCATCAACAGAATTAAGAACTTATTTCTAAGAGTGCAGGTGAAAAATATTCACAAAATTACAGTACAGCAAGATAAAACTAAAAAGCTAGAAAGAGAATGTTACATAAAAACCTTGTGGAGATTCCAAAATTTTAGTTTTGCAGTAAATGTAAAAATAGTCAAGATATCATTTTTGGCCTAGTCAAACACTATGATAAAAAGAAATACTAGCATATCACAGCTTCTTGGTCATAGGACATTTGCTTTGTAGAACAAGCAGCTTACTTAAAAAAAAAAAAAAAGCTGTCACAGCCTAACACAGCCACTGCAAGTAATACACAAGCACGGTATGTCACCAAGTGGGCTTCTGCTTTGGAGAATAGCAATGTGATATGACCGTTCATTTTGTTTTGTTCAAGAATCATTAATTACCTGTTTTTGTTTTTTTTAGGACATTCTATGAAACATTGAGATTATAAGATAGAGATTCCAAGACTAGAAAAACATGAATCTGGAGATAAAAATCCCAAACAATACTGTATTTTATCAACCAAAAATTCCACTAGCAAACCTTTGGGTGAATCAGAACTTATCTTTCCTTAAAATAATATGAAGATAGATGCCATCATTCAATTCCCAGCTAGGATTTAACTGTATTCTACCTGCATGACTTTACAATGGTATTCAGAAGTACTATCAAACTGAAAAGGTATTAGAATCTGGTTTCAGGATTTCCTTTGAACACACAAGCTGAAAGTTTCTGCATTAGAAATTGCTCTAACAGTTTTGCTGTAGGGGACATAAAGGTGAATTATAGTATTCAATTCTAAGTGATTTTTAAAAATACATAATAAAGTGGTGTTGAGCTATGAAAGCTAACCAACACCATGAATGTATTTTAAAAAGACACCAATGCATTAAATTCAAGATTTTAAGGGATCAATAATTATATTTAATCACGTTGAAGAAACTGGAGAACTAAAAAAAACTGTATATATAAGCTTCATTTTACTCTTGTTCTCCATACTCTTTTTTTTTTTTTTTCTTCTTTGGGATTTGGGAAATTTTCTGTTCAAGAGTAATCTTCATACAGATAGCACTTATCAAATGATATATAAAATAAAAGTGAACATGATAACAAATTTTGGTTATTTATGTACAATGATTAATCCAAGGGCTTTTTTTTTAAAAGAAGCTACAGCCAGTACATCTTCCAGTGTCAATGCTAACCTAAAATTAGTAGTACATATTTTTGTTTGTATTTTTGCTGCCTCTTTTGCTCTTTTTAGTGTTAAGAAATCATTTTGGAAACAGGATCCAAATAAGAGAAAACTATTAAAAATTAATTTTCATTTAAATTGTCTCTAATGGAAGTCTGGTTAAACATTGATAAAATACCATGAAGACTTGACAGTTTTGTGAGATGTACAGCTGAGACACAAAAACAACAACAACAACAAAAAAATTCTAAAGATCACTAAAATAGTCTTGGATTTCTCTTTGTGCCAACAAGTGAAAGTTGATAGCAATTCTATATTTTCTTCCTGGTCCAAAAGAAATTTATATTTCTTTACATTTCTTTCAATCAGCATTAAATTTTTCCACTGTTTTATTTGTTCTGGAAGTGAATAATAACCAAGCTTTAATACCTATCACTAATACTAAAGACATATCAGTAACTTCTTTAGTAGTTCTTAATACAGTCTGGTAAAGTAAACCCTCCTAATTGGTCAGGTATTAACTATAATTTTAACTCTCTTCTGTTCATGTAACACATCTGCTTTAAATGAGTATGTGTGACACCCAGAAATATAGGGTGATTCATACATACAATTGCCTGTAGGTCTGTAGGAAAATGACTTCCTGCTTTGCAGCCAAATTGAATACTAGTCTGTCATTCTCTGATTTTGTCCCCCTAGAAAATTGCTAACGGAATGTTTCATAAACTTGGAATCTCTTTCAATCTCTGCTCACAAATTCCACTGTTTTAAAAAGCCCAGTTGAAATGGCTTTTTATAACTGATTCATTACTAATTAAAGGCAACACATTTCTCCAACAATATCTGCACAAAATTTGGGCAAAACAATGTGATAAGTTTCTGTATTTTTGCCAAACTAGAAAACACACTGAGTAACCCACTGTCATGCCTCTCAAATACTTTCTGTAATGTGAAGTCTTGCCTTTTACACTGTGCATACAACTGTTAGGTGAAACTTGATTTATTTGGTGTCTGACCCTTATACTTATTTTTAAGTTTACCATGTTGCATTATTTCCTTTTGTGAAGAAAAGCAAGAAAAACGGCCCCCCAGAGTTTCCAAGAAAGCACAATGTCCATAGAACTTTCTAACTTATAAATATGAATCAACCTTGTCCTCATTTATTCTTACCACACTTCTTTCTGTTCCTCAAATCATGATCTAAGAAAATGCAACTAAACAATTGTAGCAAATACAGTTTTATAACTATTAACTACTTTGAATAAAGTAAGTTACTCAAAAGGATGAAATCAGAGAAAAGGAGAGGATGTTAGCACTGTCCTCACTTGGAGCTACACAACTCTTAGGTCCACCTGGATTCAGTGTCATCCCAGGGCAGGTAGGCACATAATTGTTCCATCCAGTGAAAACCATATTGGGAAGGAAATTCAAAGATGCTGCCAGCTAAAATCCCCACACAGCCAACATTATGAACATATGGACTGGCACGCACATGTTTCCTTAAACTGCCATTAAACACAAAATCATAAATGCAAAAATTAGTTACTTTATGCAAAAGGAATAAAAGAAATAGCACTGTAATAATGATGGAAAGAAATTGGGGTAGGAGTAGGTGAGAAAGTCTCAAAAACATGTTTTACCTCTGAATGAATCGTGTACCAACTCACAACGTACCAAGGCATGCAGGGGAATAAAAAGGTAGCTGTTGACATTTTATATATGTCTGTTTTGGTTCACTCTTATACACTTAAGGAGAAGTCTGGAAATTCCTCCAAAAATAATTATGACAGGGACTAGTAAAAAGGGAGCTGCAGTGTAACCATTCTTACCTAGTTCTAGCTGTGCTATTGCTTAAAAGTTGCATAAACAAGCAAGTGGTAAATTAGAAAATGAGTTAAGAGCCATTTGGGGGCCTGCTTCAAATTTGTTAGTAACCTCATGCCTGTTAAAAAACAGTTTCAGCATTCCATTAAATGATCTGTTGGAGCAATGATTTACTCTTTCACAGAATTCCAGAATCACAAATTGTAATTCATGGATGGCCAGGAGCTGTTCTCTCAAACACAAGTTCTGCCTTCCAAGTGTGTTTCCCCAAATCACTTAATCTGTATCATTCAGTTCTGCCCTCTAATGCTGTCGGACTAGAAAGAAAAAAATAGAGCACCCATGTAAATGAAATTATAATCTACACATGAAATATGGCAACATATATTATTCATGGATTAAACAAAGGAAAGTTTGGTATCAGGTGCTGAGATTCGTTTCTGACAAGGACTTCTACAGCTGAGTATTTCTGAAACAGAAAAACAAGACCTTTGCTTGGGAGTTCTGCCACATTCTAGACTTGATGAAAGACGAAAGGTCCCTGTTGTGTGTCTGATCTCTGTTCCACTGTACAGGTTACAAAGAAAGTTCCCTTTCTTTTGCAGGAAAAGTAGCAAATATTATTATTGAAAAAATACTAGAATAAATAGCTCTAGCTCAATGACCTTACAGGGTTCAAGTCACCACATTCAGGTCAAATTAGCAATTGCTCCGAGGAGATTTGGAAAGAAAGAGCCTACAGCAAGATTTTTAAGATCTTGTACTCCAAGAATAAAAGATGAATGAACTATGGAGAGAACACTGGGTGGTCACAGCTTGGGAAAAAAAAAAACAGTGAAAAGAAAAATATCAGAAAAAGAATTTCTCAGTGGGTTTCTCCTCCACAACCCCTACTGTTAACCTAATTACATTTTTCTGCTGACTGGTTAACACTGATTAAATGTTGATAAAGTGACAACTGTAAGCACACTTTAAGAACGCACATACACTGTGCTGCCATCACATTGCAAGCTTTTAAGTTTCTAAATAATTTATGAAAGGTAGAGTCCCTTCTGGAAATTACTGTCTCTTATTCACTCTTAGACCATGTGTTATTCTGAAAACTACATAAAAATACTATTTGTTAAAGGTGTTAAAAGTAAGGCTGCCAGGGTGTCTATAAAATGCCAGTCATCAAAACTATGGAAAAAACAGTGCTTAAGTTTAGAAAAATAAGATCACAGGACCTCAGATATGTTGTAAGTGGTCCTTAACTACCTGTAGTTGCAAAGTTTTGCTGCATGGTACAGTGTAAAACATACTGAATTACAAGTTCCATAAGGTAAGTAAACACAGAACCCACAACAACTCAATCCATCCTAGGAGATATTACTGAAAAATAACAGTAAATGTGTCTTGTTCCACGATTTTTAAAGAACAAAAATATCGGCTTACATTTTGCAACAGATTCTTCTTCAAGTAGTACAATTACTTATAGCATTTTAAACTGCCGAAGTTCTATTCAGAAAATTCTAAACTTTTTTTTGCCTCTAATCACAATCCTCGAAACCAGTGGTGAACAAGAATCCCATAGGGAAATCTACATAAATCAAGTGATTTGTTTCAAAGCACGGTATGCATTATATCTAAGTGTGGCAGAAGAGAACTGCTTTAAACTCCCACAAAATAAACAAGCCAAATTATCAAGAAAAAATATCCCCATCCTTTCTCTCTTCTGTTTCTTCCTTACTTTAATCAGGCAGAGCAAATGACACTGCGTCCACAAAATAATTATTGACAGTAATTTTTTTTTTTAAAAAAGGGGGTTTGTCAACATCTGAGGGGAGGTGAGATTGTAAGTGCAGTATTTCTTCATGAGCAGTTTACTTCATGGGGGTCCCTTTGGAATGAAAAGGCCTAGTGGAATGTGTGCTCCCCTCGAACAATGTGTGATGAAAACTCATAACGGTCCTGGCTTCTATAGCCACAGATGTTACATTCCAGTGGGTCCCGGTAGCCATGGCAACCCATATGAATGGTGTACATGACGTGGTCTAGGAAAAGGACTCGGCAGTGCTCACACTTGAAGGCCCTAATCTGTTCTCCTTCTCCATTGAAGACCTTGTAGATGTCCTTCAGAGAGCCCTTAGGAACCTTGGCAGTATCCAAAGCCTTGACATCCTCCTTCATGTAAGCTGGGCTTTGTTTCCGCTTGGGATTTAAGGCAGGGTTTCCTTGGTAGGACTGGTGGTCATCGTGGCTGCTTTCGGAGTCAGTAGAATCCAAGCAGCTATTGCTGGGAGAGGCCTCTCTTTCCTGGGGTCGACTCTTTGGTCTGATGAGCGAGATCGGGCCATCCATGTTGTTTTCATGACTATCAGAGGTTTCCCTGCTAATGGGTCTTTCTATCCTATTTGGATGATAGACCTGAGGATAAGCTGAGCTTATAACTGGGGCCACCTCAGCGATTGTGCTTGGCGGGTGCTGCATCAGAGGGTGAAGGGCCTCAGCTCCAAGGTAGGTGATTGCATTGTTGATGGCTTGGTCCATCATATGAGACGGCATCAGCTCAGCCTCCTTCTCATACGCTAAGTTCATATCAAAGTGAATATCTGGGTAGCCGAATCGCATGAGCTTTTCCCCTAAACAGAGAGGGAGAAAACAGGAGGAGGAAAGGGGGGAAAACAACAAAACTGGTGATTAGCTCAGAATGACTTTGCAAAGGTAATCAACTTGATTTTCTATAATACAACATATCTATTCTTCAGATCAAATATTCAGATTATTTCAGCTGCAACTCAGACACTCTTTATCTTCATTTATAGTTTCATAGCTACTGAGATTTCCCTTCCCCCTGCCTACCTCCCCCCACCAAGATTTCCCCTATATTAGTATTGTACATGAAAGGAGCAGGAAAGAACCATTCATAAGCCACTTGTTATTGGTGAAAATAGGTCAAATTATGCTTTTGTCATTCACCTGTCACAGTGACCAAATTACAAAAACAAAACTACACCTGGTCTGGTTATAACTTTTCTCCCTTCACATGTAGGGTTAATTTGATAAATTTAGCTTCTATTTTAGAAGAAAATCATGGAATATTTATTTATTTATTTATTTATTTATTTATGTGTGTGTGTGTATTCTTCTGGGTAAATTTTAAAAGTATTAAAGCAATTTAAAAACTTTTATCACTTGATAAAATTAATGAAACAAAAAACACTATTTAAAAATAAGATTAGTAGCCATTTCCAAAAGTACTTTCCAGAAACTTTGTCTTATACTTCAGTTTTTTGCTTCTTATTCATTTTTATCATCTCTTTCTTTTTCAGACATGTATAATTACACCGGCAGGGTTAATTTTCTATGTTTTTTCTTAAGTGGATTATGTTTATAGTTTGTCCTTTAATATTTTCTTTAAAATGTAATTTTTTAACATAATTCAAGGATATTAACTACAACAGTTTTAGTGCTTAAAATAGGAAGCTATTTTAGTGTTTCTTCAAAAACAGTCAAATGTGGACAAAATACTTCCTCTTTAAAAAATTCTGCCACCAAACCGGTGTGTTCTCCAATTATTTGCCTTGTTAGAATCTTTTAGATAAATGCTTCCTAAAACTGTGAAAAATCTTCAAAAAGTTCATGGAAAGTGTGTACAAAGAATAAAAAAAAATGAATGGATGTCAATTTTTTGGCAGCTAAATTACTTAAAATTCTATTTTCCATAAACTTGTTGAAACATGTGGACTTGTTTTACGTGTTCAGTATGTTGTTGGTGAAAAGCACACTGCCGTGGTTTGGTCTTAATGTGAGAGATCGGGGTAATGAGAACTGAGGAAAGTTAACAGCAAGAAATTATCTCATGGCATAAAGTCTGAACTACTGCAAAGTGAAGAGTTCCAAAGTTAAACTAAATAAATATATGTGTATATATATATATGCCTATATATACACACTCCAAAAGCTTACAATAGTTTAGTGAAAATGACAGCAATTTAAGAATTTTTATTTATAATGCAGGGCTAAATATGCTGTGGGTTTTTATACAAGGAATATTACCTTATATTAGGAGAGTAAATAAAGATTCTTTAGGTAAAGATTAGCCAAGTAAGGAAATATGCAGTTGGAGCAGCAGGGAGGAAGATATGGAGACAAAATAGTATATGAATGAAGGACTAGTTATATCCGCATGCAGGTTAGAATAAATGCAAAAAGGAGGAGTCCAATAACATGGAGAAAGACTTTGGGCAATAGTTTCTTTAAAACCAACAACAACAAAAAGGGTTTATTTGATTTGAAAAGTAGAGTTACAGAGACAGAGAAAGACTAGAGAGGGAGGGAGGGAAGGAAAGAGGGAAGAAGAGGGAAGAAGGGAGGGATGGAGGAAGGAATAGCGAGAAAGCGAGAGAAAGAGCGGGGGAGGCAGGGATGTGTGCAAGCACTTTCATTGACCAGTTCATTTCTCAAATGGTCACCCTGGCCAGTGCTGAGCTACTACTGAAGCCAGGAGCTTCATCCAGGTCTAAGATGTTGGTGTGGACATTTGGACCATCATCCAGTGCTTCAACAGGCACATTAACAAAGAGTTTGATCAGAAGTGGAACAATTGTGAATCTAATTAGTGTCAATATGGGATGCAAACGAAACAAGTGGTGGGTTAAGGTGCTATACCATAGTGTCAATCCTCGCTCCCCAAATTTCCATTTTGCAGCTAAGAAGTTTTATCCTGAGAGTAACAAGGTTGGAAGGATTGGATATGGAAGGGCCCTGATACTTGTTTGCAATAGGATTTAGAAAGTCACTACTGCAGAGGTCATGGAGGCCTAAACTACTATAATGGAGTGGAAATGAAGAAAAGCTGACGAATGCAAAGAAACTTAGAACATGTAGATGCTTGAGCTTGCTGGTTATCTAGATATAGAGATGAGAAAGAGAAAGAATCAAAAAGACCAGGTTTCTGCTCTAGGAAACTTAATGGATGACAATGAGATAGCAAACCTGATAAATTCTGCTTGAGGACTCAATGAGTAATTGTCATCCCCAGTAAAGACTTCGATATAACCCAGGCATGGTTAAATATGAAGAAGAGAGGGTCAAAAATAGAATATGGAAAACATTTCTTCTTGCTTGCCCACAGACCAGAGCAAATAGGATGCTTGTACTAAGCACCATGTTTTGAAAGCCCTGGGCCTTGTTCTTCATGAAATCAGCAGTTGGTAGGGCCAAGGGATTTAGAGTCATGATCTAGAGCTCATTCCCTGACTACACTCTGGGTTCTGAGTTGCCTAGAATCCCTTCTCCAGATGGCTCTAAGCCTCACAGCAGGGTTGGCAGTCTGTTCCACTGAGAAACACATGCTAGGCCTCGAGTGCAGGCAGCATAGTACTTTTTTGACACAACCTAACATGAACTCGAACTGCAGTTCTGTGTAAGCAAGAAGCCCCTCCTGTAATGAAAGCAGATGGGAAGTGGGCCTAAGAAAAGCCTGTCTGTAAGTCAAGGTCTGCTATAAGAACTACAAGAAATTTGAGAATTCTATATTTATTTGAATAGTCCTCAACAAAGGAAGGCAGGACATACATCTTCCATCTTGATTCATAGCAATAAAATATTTAACCTATGTATTGGGGCTTCCATTAATACTGTTCTTCATCTGCATGATTGTTAGGAGTAAGGACAGTAGGAAGACTGAGGAGTAGTCAGATAAGATGGAAGAAATGCAAGAAGCGCCAAATGACAGAAACCAGGGAAAGAGGAGTGTGCTCAAAAGGAAGGTGACCATTTGGTACAGACAGATGCAATTTAGGAGTTGCATATAAGGAAAAAGAAACCCACTGGCTTCTGGCTTTGACACTACAGAAGCTAGTAGTGATCCCAGAAGCACTGTTTCCACGGTGCATGGGGTTAGGTTGCACAGACTGGGAAATGAATTCAAACCAATCATGGAAGGCAAGCCCAGATAATTCTTCCAACAATCTTAATGTTGAGAATGATGGAAGGTGTACTAGTAGCTAGAAAGAATGTAGGGCTTTAGGGAATTTATTATTTTTTAAATTCTGTGGGTTTATCACATTCAGTGCCAATAAGAAAATGAAAATGAAAGGAAATGAAAGGATGAAGCTAAAAATATAAGTAAAGAAGGGGAAAAACAGACTAGGATAGGGGACTTTCAGGCAAAAAAAAAAAAAAGAAGAATTAAACCTTAATCAATAAATTGATACTCTTTTGTAGAAATAAGAAACCAGAAGAAAGTTACTAGTGTGGATGAACACACTCTATTCAACACACTCCATTTAAATGATTTCACTTTGTCTTCTGTGACTAAATAAGAGATCATCAAAGAATGAAATACCATGTTTGCACAAAGTGGAGAAAGGCTGAAATGGCAATGGTAGAGATGATTCTTTAGAGATGGATTAAAAGGTTGCTACTGTCTAATATGGATGGATCACATAATATTTGAGTCCAGTAATTGTTTGTAGTTAGAGCAACTCACAGGGTTATGGATTTTCTCCCAAAGTACTAGAACTGAGATAAAAATATGGAGGAGGGGAAACCTCTCAATTTTTCTTATGAGAGAGAAGGGATGAGCCATGGAATTATGCTGGAGAAAGAGAGAGATTTATCTGCAGGAATTTCAGGGCTCATGAGTCTGGGGATTGATAATGTCAAAGGACGGTAGTATTTAACCGAGGGACATGTGAGAAGAAATGTACAGTGAGTGAGGAGTGACGAATTTGGCTTCGAAAACAATTATGGAAACAGTTACAGTAGTCATGGCTATAGATTACTAGAATACACTCCAAATAAATGAGAAAATTCTCTCAAATTCTTATAAAAAGTCATTATTTTAGAACTGTAGTGTAACTTTCTAACACTTTGTCCCTGTTTTCTAGGGAAAGCAAGGAAACTGAATGGAAATTAGCTTCTATAAATCACAGGCAATGTGAAAAAAAAGAGCAGATTATATAAATTTATATAGATTTATACAATTAATCTTTTAATTTAGTCAACTTTAAAAATTATTCTTTTTCTTTTCCTCGTGGTTATAGAAAGGAAGAAAGAGGGACAGTAAGGAGAATTTCCTAGTGTTGAAGGCAGGTTTTTGGGCCTCACATTGGGTCCTTGGATGGCCTTTGTACAGACTATGAACATTAGCGTACCCTTTAGTCTTCTTCCATTGACTTCTCAATAATTCCTCCAATGATATTTTCATGATGTTAGTCTTTGGATTTAGATTGAAAGTACAACTTCTCTGTTTTTTTTTTGGGGGGGGCAGTTAGTAGCTTTATTACTTCTTTAGCGCTGAAATAGCAAATATTTTCTCCTAATCAACATATCCCATAACATTGTCTAACACTAAAATGTGGCAATGTTTATATGATTTTTACCTGAAATATTTTATCATACATTAAGTATGTTACATATATAATGTATGACAATTCTATTCCCATTTTTCTGCTGAATATTTATTATTCATATATATATATTTTAAAATGCTGTTTATATTTTTAATAATGCTCCATGACTTAAAGCATATGTTCCGACAATGTTCCGACAATGGCTAACAAAGGGTCTTTTAGGATTTGGAAATGAAAAGGGAAAAGTTAAATATATGATATTTAATCTTTTAAGTTAAAAATCATAGAATGGATGAGAAAACAAAGATCAAAATGTAAAATCTCAACTATGAAATATCTAGAATGTAAGATTTTAGTTTTTAAATGGAGAATTAAAACTCTTTTCAGTTTAGATTAAATACTAAAAGAGCATCATGCATAGAGAACAGCTAAAAACTTAGTGCTAATGCAAATTTTAAAACAGACACAAAATTGACCAGCATAATTGGCCCTTTCCTCTATGTATTATTATTTTAAACATAAACTGCATTTTAGCTTTTCCATGCTATTTCATTTTGTATAGTATCACATTTTAAGATGGTGACTTAACTGGTATCAGCCTTTATTTCTAAAGACATGCTTTATGCCTATGTGTGTGTGTGTGTACACAAGATGAATATTTATCCCCTGAACTAAAATACATCATCATTATTTCTACACATGGGAACTTAACTATCCGAGAAAACCACCTTGTAAAGAAACAAAGCCAACTCTCACGCTTACCCACAAACTTTTGTGGAGTGGAACTTTTACGTTTTCCCATATTCCCTGTGAGCTTCTCAATGACAGCAGGTCTCTCAAAAGGCACCAGAGAAATATTGTTGTCCATAATAGGCTCCTGTTCCTTACAATCTTCCATAGGAGGTACTATATAAAATCACATAAAAAATGCATTCTGTTAATGTCTTCAACATTTGGAAAGATACAAAGCTGGATTTGCCATCTAACTACAGGTTAAGAAGCCTTAATGCTTGTATAAAACCAAGGAGAAGGAGTAGCTTCCAGTGTGAAAGTATCATCTAGTTCTACACACACATACAAGCTTTGCTTTTGTCAGAATCTCCCTCACATCAATGACATCAACTGTTGCCAATTTTGGTGGCAACACGTTCAACTACATTCTCCTCTTACTCCTCCGAAAGTGTTTTTAACATTGGCTAAAATCAATAAAACCAAGACTTTCTTATTTTCAAGACTTTCGGAGTTCAGTTTTTCTAAAATAAGTAAACTTGTTTTGGAGTAAAGCTTAAACACACAGAATATCAGCACGATATTTAAGCACTTTGTTTTCCGCTCATACATTTTTCGGCAGCAGATTTTTCTATTTGATGAGCTGTTAGTTCTATTGGCAGTCGCTTAGATACCTGCGCAAAACAGCCTTCATGAGAAGATCCAATTCTGAACATGTCTGTGCTTAGTAAACTGTGGCAGCTTTGTGATTGCAATTTATTTTTAAAACAGAGGGGAATACAAGAATCTATTTCAAAATTGAGACACTGTGAGACTAAACAATCGCCTTAATTCATCTGACATAAACTCTGCAGTGCTGCTCTTCTAATCTTGTTTAAGTTACGGGGTGATATGTTAGCCTTTAGATACTAGTATCGGATATTCATAGTGTAGACAAAGAACTTATGAAAATTGTGTGTGTGTGTGTGTGTGTGTGTGTGCGTGTGTAAAAATATTGTCTAAGGATGTTTAATTAAGGATAGGGTAACATCTCAGATGATACCAGTCAACTGAAATCATGTCTGTTCCCAAGAAATGCCCTAGCTTAATAGTCTTGATTGCTGCTGTTTCCTTCAGCTGCACTTGTGCCAGTACTGTTTGGAAACCAAAAGACTTGATGTTGGATATCTTTACTTGTTCAGCATGCAACATAAAATGATTGATTCTAATCCACTGATTTGTATAAAATAGTCCTGTGTGAAATATAATGCATTCTCATTGAGGGGGAACTTGCTGGCAGACGTTACGATAAAATGTAAAGCAAGAGATGAAAGTGAAGAAAATCAAGGACACAATTCAGGTGACCTACTTAATAATGACTATAAATTGTTAATACTGAAGAAATGAAAAACAGCAGGAAATTATTTCCCAATTTGGACACATTTAAAGGAATCAACATTAAATCTAAAGTTCTGACTAAAGGAATGAATCAGTGTTAACAGTTTAACATATAATGTGCATTTAATAAGAGACCCATTGCCTATGAACGACAATGGATTCTGCATATTCTGGATAGTAATACAGACAAACAAATTCTAAGGTGAAATTTAGGAAAAGTTAGCTCATTGTCTACACTGATATAATTCAAGATACATTTATGTGTGGAATGAATGTCTGAAGACACATAAAACATTACATCTTCTTTTAACTAGAAATACTACCGCAAGTGATTCAAAAAGGAAAGTAGGTAACTTAAAAACAAATGAAGGATGACCATAGAACTCAAGAGGAATCAGGAAAAATAGAATGGTAGTAATGATGTGACAGCTAACTGGATACTGGGATGTAAATTATTATAAAAATACTTGTTTTGTGTGATAGACTCACTGAAACTTACTACATTATTAAAAACAATTACAAAAAGAAGCCATGCATTAGCAAAAGTTGAAGACTGAAATGAGAATTTGGAAAGAAAAAGTAGTTCTAAATTTTGTTTAAAAAAAAAAACTAACAGGATTTACCCCCACATTGAATATGCTAATTAGTTCTGAAATGAGTAGTCTAAAACTTGGCAGTTGTACTCTAAGTACCACTCTGAATTTTCATATTTGCACACATTTGAAACTCAAAACGAAACCTGGGTGTGGGAACTGTCTCACGCCACATCCACCTCAATTCAGATGATCTGTCCCAAGTTCAATGAAGCTCATGTGAACTGAAAACAATAGGGTTGGCAGAGGTTTTGCCTAACTTGTATTTTACAATAACCCTTTATATGTCAAAAATCTTGTTTCCACGATACTGGTAATAATTACTGACACACACTACACTCTAAGTGCTGTTGTGATGCATTTGCCTATTTTTATTCAATTTTTTGAACTATCCCATAAAATAAGGTGTTATACTGTTTTTATAATACAAATGGAGAACCAAAGACCCAGAAATTTTAATTGACTATCCCAGGGTTTACGTGAAGCCAAGAGAAAATGTCATTAATAGGAAGACTGCCTCCAAGCCCTGGGCTCTTACCCACTATGCCATCCAACATTTTGCAAATGCATTTTAGCACTATCTTTTAATAACTAGTTTGTTCTATTTGTAGGTTCTATTATTGGGAAAAGATCTGATTTTCTTTTTCTCCAACTATGTAACTTATTTATTTAACCTTTGATGGATTTGAGCATAACTTACCAAACTGTTTCTAAATAACTAGTGTTGAAAACACAAATAGATGTTTCAATACTGCTTTAATCATCTAAAGACACATTTTTCTATGCTAAAAACATAACAACATGATAGCTTCACTTCTTTGGGCAAATTTCATAAGCAAATATTTTCCTTGATCTTACTTTTGAAGTTGTAACCAGGACAAAAAATATATGTATACATGCTTTATATTATTATCATATTAGGAAATCATAAAGGCAGAACCATTAAGAGTATTTGTAACAATAATATTTGTTAAATGAAAAAAAAATCCATGTAAAATTCAAATATCAAGAAGAAACAATGAAGGGACTAGAGTAGGTCTCAAGATTGCCCTCTAGACAGGCGAGGTCAGGGAACTTCCATACGTGTGTGCAACGGGAAAAAGTCCTCAAAATGAAAATGGAGGAATGAAGAAGGCATGTTAGAGAGCAAAAAGAATACATCTTATATGAAATCATAAATTCTCCACAAGTTACCAAATCTTAATTACACACACACACACACACTAAACCTTTACACTTTATTTTCTTGATAGCATTCAATCTGTGCGCTGAAACTTGCTCAGATTTCTATATGCTTTTAACTGGTACTTACAATTTCTGCCCTTATATTTTGCTCCTCCAGATGTTTTACTATATACTTGGTCAGATTTCGTTTGTCCTTCAAAGTTTCATGTGCTACAGGCTTGGTTCCCAGTTTAAGGGAATTGAAAGATAATGCGATTTTGAAAAAGTGTGGCCTAGTGGGATTTGGTTACTGGGGTCACAGCCCTCATGGAAGACTTAATGCCATTCTAGTGAATCTTGCAGGATCAGATCCATTCGTACCAGAATAGATTAAACTCGGCCTTTCCCTACACTCTTATTTCCTTTTTTGCCAAGTAACATTTCCTTTCTTCCTTAACTCACCTGTGCTTCTGCCACAAAGATTTCACCGGAGGCTGTGCTCCTTGACCTCCAAAATCACAAACCAAAATAAGCCTCATCTCCTTACAAAGTGAACAGACTCGGGGATTTTGTTAGAACAGTACAAAATAGATCATTACAATGTGCTAAAATCCATGACTTCAGTCTATCATGTATGTAACAGTGCATCCCAGAACTCTCAAAAGAACTAGGGATTTGTATATTCAACTTCCTCCTAGACAGTTTTGCTTGGCTGATGTATAGCCACAATTAGATAATGCGTTCCAAACTGAAAGTCATTTTCCTCTACAAATTTTTGCCTATTTTGTTAATTCCTTTTCAGTGAATGGCACTACAATTCACTTCATCATCCATGCCAGAGAACTGCAGCAAACCCTAGACTTCTTCCCTGGATCCAGTTATTTTATCTCCTCCTCCCCTTACACATCTCCATACAGGCAAACATAGAAATATTACGGAGATTTAGATTTTACATTAGTAGCTGCTCAAATTTCTGAATATTCCAGGCTACTAAGTTTACCAAGACCATTGTAACGATCTCCTGATCCGTCTCTTGACTTCTCTGATCTATTTCTCACATTTCCTGTAATAAAATGTAAATGTAATCCTGTCTTTTGGGGGCAGAGTACAAAATTATTTGCTTAGGGCCCGGCATGGTAACCTAGTGGTTAAAGTCCTCGCCTAGACAACATGCCAGGATCCCATATGGGGACCAGTTGTAATTCAGGTCGCTCTGCTTCCCATCCAGCTCCCTACATGTGGCCTGGAAAAGTAGTCGAGGACGGTCCAAAGCCTTTGGTTCCTGCACCCGCATGGGAGACCTGGAAGAAGCTCCTGATTCTTGGCTTTGGATTGGCTCAACCCCAGCGGCCACTTGGGGAGTAAATCAATGAATGGAAGATCTTCCTCTCTGTCTTTCCTCCTCTCTGTATATCTGACTTTCCAATAAAAATAAATAAATCTTAAAAAAAAAAACTTTGCTTAACAGAACAGGCTCTTGATGTTCTAACCAGAGTATAATTCTCCAGCATTAGCACCATTTTATTTCTTTTATCTTTACAATTGGGCCCTAAGTATATATGGTTATTTCATTATCCTTAACTGTCCATGTTTTTAGCTAGCAATTTCTTCAAAAGTTCATGAAAAAAAAAACAGAATTAAAATCTAAGTTTATTTTGGTGTACAAGTTTCTAAAATCTATGCATAATTTTTTCATAATATGCATTTTGGTAAACTTTTTGAAGACTCGCCATAATAGCTTGCTGTTTTTGCCTGTCAAAAACTTCGCTCCAGTTAACTTTTGCTGGAAACTCCTCGTGGACAACCAGTCTGTTCTGATGGTGATTATGCAGAGTTCAATATTTGGACTTCTTAGTCATTTCTTCCAGCAGTTGGTAAATAACCTTAGTGATCTGGGCTACTTTGCATTAATGCCTTTTGTGATCCCAGACAGATGCTATATTCCATGGAGATTTAATGAATGACACAATGAAGTCAGTGTGTTCATCCAATGAAAATGAATCAAAAGCTTACTGGAAGGTTGGCAAGGTCCCAATCATGCCTCCATTTGTTTGATAAAGAGTAACCCTTTTCTGAATAATTTAAACCATAAGAATGTGTTGCTTTAAAGTTGGCTGATTCTGATTCACACTTTCATTTTAATCTCTAGGCAAGGAGGAAAAATATAATTGCATAATTAGGTTTTAAAATGTTTTCTTTAAGCTGAACAGACTTGGAAAATGAGCATAAAGATTACATTCAAATAAGAATCTGCCACAAAGCCCAGTTTCTTGGGATCTTCATTTCTAAAACTTTAAGTCATGCAATTTCTCAGACCCGATCGAGAGTTGTGCTTTATTCTACCTTCTTTTCACTGTTTCCCTGGAATTATCACTGCTAGGGTCTCCTCACCTTCCACTCCTTGCTCCAGGCAGAAGCCAATCCCACATGCCATCCTGGCGACATTTTTCTTTAGAAGACACAACTTTGTTTGCTTTCGTGTTTTCCCATCAGCTACGTTATTAACTCCAAACGAGCGCCAAATGTTCCATCTATGGATCATAACTTATTTCAGTCTCATCAAGAAATCCTGATGTTCTTCACCTCTAAACCTATTCGTGTTTTCTAACCGGCATTTATGTTCTCTGTGTTCTGTCCTATCCATGCAGTTTTTTTTTTTTTCCTTCTGTTTTAAGTTGAGAAGCAGAGACAGTGAGAGAGCAACAGAAAAATAGGCAAGCTCACTTTGGCCAGCTCCCTTCCCAATTGATTCCAATAACCTGGGCTGGGTCAGACCAAAACAGAGAGCCATGAAATCGAACCAGGTTCCAACAATGAATACTTAAAAAGTGAAAATTGTATCATTTATTTTATATAAATTTATCTATTGGAGGGACACTGTGACAGGCAGAGAACTTTTCCAACAGCTTGTTCTACAGAATTTGCTACAGAATCAAGTCCAACTAGTAAAGAAATCAAAGAGAAGAATAGTTTTCTTTTGGTGTCTTAAAGTTGGCTGCTGGTACTACCTGAATTTAAACTCATTTCAAATGCCTAAGGAGCAAAAGCCATGCAAAAAAAAAATGCGCTCTGAAATCCACAAATGGAAGGGAAATTAGATAACCCATAAAAAGCTACAAAGGCAGTATAGGAAGGAGTAAAAGTCCTGGATGTCCTTTCTACCCACCATGGTGACTCATGACCTGCCCGGCAGCCTCCATGCTGACGTTCTGGAGATAGTTGTGGCAGCGCTCCTTGTGCTCCTCCAGGGAACTGCGCTGCTTGTAGCTCCGGCCGCAGTAGTTGCACTTGTGAGGTTTGCCCACTGCAAAGAGAACTCCTGGTTAGTGTGTCGCCGGCTACATCCACGCCAAGAGAGAACTTTCGACAATGTGGAGAGACGCAGTTACAGGCTTTTACAATTCAAATCTCTTCCTCTACCATGTTCCAAATCAAGCAAAGAAAGAAAAGACTTTTCTGAGACAGCAAGAAGCAAGGCAGACTGTACCTCTGTAAATGTGAGAAATCCTGATTCAGACTCATGCCCTGACTCCTAACATGTTTACTCTAACCTGGTTAACTCTGTTTTTGACTGATTTGAAAAATGAATCACAAATATCCCAGACTTTGTTTTTTTTACTTTTTTTAAAAAAAATGAGATCAGGGAATTTTAGTTTAGAAGACAAAAAATTCAACAACTCTAAATGTCACTTTAAATAAAAACAAGATTATTCACATGTCATTTTAAATAAAAACAAGATTATTCACATGTACCAAGAAGATTAAAAAAATTCAAGTGGTGAGAAAAAGTACAGATAAAAGCCATAAGTTTCTCTTTACTTTCCGCCTTGGTAATAACTATTCACACATGCAAAACTTTGCGGCTGATACCCACATGCCCTCTTAGGAGCGCTGCTGTTACAATACCAAGAACTGACAAACCAGGTGCTTCTAGTCAGGATTATTAATCATAACTATTAAAGCTATAACATACCCATATATAGTTATACAATGACAATAATCCCCAAACATCTCCCATTCAGGAAATGAATTATTCCCAATAACCAATGAGCCATTACTTCAGTCCATCTATTATTACACTACAATGCCCACATAACAAACCTTTAAAAATGGATTAAAAAGAAAAGTCGGGGAGAGGTATGTTTTAATGTATGAATATTCATAAGAATCACAGACATCTTTAATTTTTTCCTTAAACAAAGGTTGATTCGTTTTCATCTACTTTAAAGAAAGAGCAAGAGAAACAGAGACAGCCCATCTGTTGGCCACTTCCCGCATGCCAGCATTGGACCAGGCCAAAGCCAGAGGCCCAGAAATTCATCTGGTTTTCCCATTTGGGTGCCAGGGGTCTAAGCACTTGGGCCATCACTCTCCACCACCCAGGACAGTCTCAGCAAGGAGATGGAGGCAAACAGGCAGAGCTGGGACTCAAGAGACAATGACGTGGCATGTGGCCTTGCAAGCAGTGGTTTTACCCAAAGTGAGGTATGCCTGTCCCAACCTTTGGTCTGAAGTGGACACAGAACAAGAATCACCAGGCAGTGTGTATCAAAGCCATCAGTAGTAAAGCAGAGTGTGATTCAGGCCAGTGTCGTATATAGTTCCCATTGGAGTCACTGACTTTTGCCTTTTACCCAGAATATAAACAGCTTTTGTCATAACCAGAGCTGGCACTTTTAACTCCAATCACCTTATACAACAGACTCATGTTCAACACTGGGCACAGGAGGAACTGTAAGTGGCAAGATATTTATAGTTGCCCAAATTTCATTGATTAAATATAAAAATCAAAAGAAACTTTAGATTGTACTTAAGGTACATGTAAATTAAAATTACTTATTCCATAAGTAATTTTTATAAATATTCTTAAACATTATCCAAAATATGCTAGTCATTTTTAAGAATACCAACAAAGTAATCTCTTTTCAGGACTCAGAATTTCTAGGAAGTAGCTGTGAATACTGTACACAATTTATAATACTATGTGATAATATTTAAAAAGTAGAAAATATTTTATAAGAATTTACTATAAATCACACAAACACAAATACACACACGTAATTGTATTTTACAACATGTGGATTGCATAATAAGGAGTTCTGGTTTGCTATTAGCATTACTTACTTTGGAGTTCCTTTATACCATTTCTGTAGAAATGATGATGAGTTTACCTTGAACAAATTTTAACCAATGAATACTGATGTAACAATTAAATCTCAGTTAACTGCCCACTGTAAAATATTTTATTCATCTGTCAGTCTTCCCTAGTATTAGTTCTATCACATGGTATTTTATGATGCCTCTCTTACTGAACACACACCTTCTAGTATTTTCCTTCCCTTACTTCTTCTACACACAACGCGTATCTCTTCAATGAACTCATATGTGGTTCCATTCTACTGGCCTTGGTTCACGATTCTCCACAAACTCTCTTTTACCTGATAAGGAACAATAGGTAGTATACTGCTGTAACTCATTCTTTAAAAACTACTCTAACTTGTTATTCTACTACTTTCATTCAGCTTCTTCCCAGTGTGTCATCTGTGTATTTTAAAATATCAGTCCTTCCTTTTCATTCATCCCATCCTGGTTCCCAAACAGTCCATCAGGGATTTGAGTGCTTGTTTTAAAAGCATAACTACAGGTTTTTTTGTTTTGTTTTGGTCTCTTCATCAAATATCCACTCCAGGGACCCACATCCTAAGTGTCATGTTGGATCCTGACATTGGCTACAGACCATCCCACCTTACCCTCCTTTAGAATTCCTTCAGTAAAAGCTTATTAGAAGATTGCTAGCAGCTATAAAACTGTAATGTAAAATGAAAAAAAAAAGTCCTATGGTGCCTATTCATTTGCACCTGCCAGCCTGGTAAGGAAGACAAACATAAATACACAAGCAACACAGAGGATTGTGTGTAGGACTGTGGTGTGCTAACAGAACACGAGGAACTTACTCTAGTTTGAAAAGTTTGGACAGAAAAGTCTAAGGTGGGAAGCTTTAGGTTTACAACTGAAGGAAGAGACATCAGATAACGGGGCAGCTTTTGAAGGAGAGGCAAGTTCTGAGACCTGCTGTTACCTTTGCCTACTTTGTCTCCCGTGCTTAGATTCTTCGGAGCAACATTTTGCCCTTACATCTCTTATCAAAATGATTTGCAAGGATTGCATCAATTCTGGTCAAATCCAGTAGCTGTATAACAGCTGATGGACTGTCTCCCCTCAATTCCTAATATTATTTCTTAAAAACATACTGGGGGAGCAGTGGGGTGGGTATGTGGCTTTGTAGTAAGTTGTTGGTCTGGATGCCTGTGTTAGTTTGAACTTTGCTCTGATTTTGGCTTCCTACACATGCCTAACTCGGCAGGCAGCAAGTGCTGACCGAAAGAGTTGAGTCCCTGCCACTCAAGTGTGAGGCTCAGGTTGAGTTCCTGACTTTCAGCTTCAGCCTGGCACTCTGCTGCTGCATCTAGGCATTAGGGAGTGGCTCAGTAAAAGGAGCTCTCTTCCTGTCTTTGTCTCTCAAATTTTTTTAAAAGTCAATCTTACAGAAATATGTAACTGATTCACTATTCATGATGTGTTTTTAGAAATGCATATAAATTATAAGTTAACAACACATAATACATATGCCATTTATTTTTACAATTGTTATTGTTTGATTCATTAACTAAAATTCTTTCATTCTAATACTGAGTTATTATGTTTGAAATGCCAATGGGCTGAGTCACTAAGCTGAGTGGACTCTTCAGCAACTCTGAATCTTTCCTAACCTCTTGGTTACTATCAAACTGTTCTGTGTTTTGAATTTACTGCTTTATCTTCTGGGATCAGAAACTGCGTTGTCCTTCACTGCTTTCTGAACCTTTTCCTACCTTGTCAATACATGTGTTCCTCTAGAATTTGTTTACACAACGGTATTCTCCCCTTTGTTCTCTCAAGTTCTCATTTTTATGAAAAATTCACATCATTCCAGGAATAATGTCACAGGTTTGTGAACTTCTGGGCATTCAGACCTTCCTTTTATGATCTTGGTGAATCACTTCCATATAACTATATCTCAGATGTGCGCACAGTCTGTGTTTTCACAGCATCTGCTGTTTCATTCCTTAGGACAAAGGTCTTGTAGTTATCCATTTTATACATATTTCTTTCCCAAATCCAAATGATAAGCTTCATAAGCACAGAGGTCCTGCTTTACTCAATTTTGAGTTGATGATATGTATTGTGGTAGTTACTAAATACAGGAGACACTCAACGTATATTTACAGAAGGATTATACTTCAAATCTGTACCTACATCTGCCTTCTGAGTACCCCCTCACGGATATTCCCATGAAATCCAACCTGACATTCAAGCCACTCAGAACCATCATCCTTCACAAAACTTCCACTTTGACCATCGATTTGTGCTAGGAGAGTGATCGTTGTTTTAACAATCCAAATCCACAACAAAGCTACTTTTGTCACCTCCTACCTCCGACATCACTTTCAGACACTTGCTAAATTTCATATACTCAACTTTTTCAAGTATTTGCCCCTGTTTTCATCTCTACAACCTATATCCATCTTAGTTCAAGGCTTCATTATCACTAACCTGAGCTAGCATCACAGTTGTCAAATAGATTTTTCTTTTCCCATATATAATTATTTTACTGCCCTCTTTAACATGCTTCAATGGCTGTTAAATTCTATTGCACAAAGTTCAAATCTCTATCCCTGACATTTAGTACCATATACAACCTGGCCCCAGGGCATATATTCCATTTTCTACTTGAGTCTGGAGCCAAAATTACCTGGCACTTATACTTCTGAGTCTTGTTGGTTTCTGGAATGGCTTCACACAATTTCTACTACTTGAAATGTTTCATTGCCTTACATTCCCAATGTCCTTAACTCAGTTTCACCTAAAACTGATCTTCCTCTTTGACTATACCCAAAGCTAGGCACTTTTAACATTCTACCAGTATTAACTGTGATTTTTACATGGCATTTAAACATTAATTTTTATGTTAGATCGTGATCTGTTTATGAAATCAGAAGAATATTCCAAAGAGGTTAGTATAGTGCCTTGTTCATAGAAAAAAAATTTCTGCTTTCCTAACTCTTAGAATGGCCTTCTCAAATTTTTCCTAAATGATCTTCTAATTCCAAGAGCAATATATTCATTAAAAAACTTTTAAAAATTCACCAAAAGGAAAAAAAAATGTAATTAACATTAGGGAGAAATTATCTGAGCTTACTAAATTTTTACTTTTTTTCTATGTGTACAACATATTTTGCTATGAAAATGGGGAATTTTAGACAT